TGTTCCGTCCTGGTTTGGGCTTGTGTGTGTACCAAGAAACTGCAGGTGACTCGTGGAATATCCCATGGTATACCAATAGAAAGCATTGCATAACTAGCATGTGTACATGTTACCAAACTAGTGAGGGATCCATATTGGAGTAGCATTGCTTAAAGTCTTAATTTCAAGGTTATCGACTGACCTGCTGGCAACAACCTTCAACTTGCAAAACACAGTAAGAGATCAATGTTCCCCAGTATGGACTGAACAAGGTACTTCAATAAAATACAGCACTGCACACCACAGTGCAAGTTAAACAAAACGACATTGGTGTTTTTCAGGCCACTTTCATGACAATGAAGTGAAATTGTCAGTTGAGCTTAAAGGAAAAATGATTTCTGTTTTCTTTTGTCCAATCTTCTGAAAAAAAGTAATTTGCGAGAATTACGTTCCTGAGAAAGCCACAAATTACAATTATTACCACATACACTGTACAACTGTACCTGATCAATTTCCTCAAATCGCTGCAGTATTAGAAACAGGAGAAGGGCAAAGCATCCACCAAATATATTGTTTCCAACACCACCACTGACATAATGAATGTTCCCTCGGTTAGAACGCCAAAATACTGCGAAGAAATGAAAACTCATTGATGCAACATTGGGTAAAGCTAGGTAATAATGAAACTTTAGATCAAATATTATTTTACATGAATTAAATCTAAACTTACATGTAGAGGGCTATGCAATAAAGTTTCACTCAGCATGAATGGATTCAAGGAAAAACCATATTTTCAATCATTAAGTATCATATAATATCGTCATGATGTTTTTAAGTGCCCACAGGGTGATCTTTTATACTTTCTTCACTTGAATCTACACATCGTTCAAAGGATGATCAGATGCAGATGCTTATACATGTACAGGGTAGGCAGGAAAAACATGTGTGACAAGCCTCAAGACCATCTTTGTCATATGAAGGAGGCTGCTGTGGACTATGGTAACTTACTTGAACTAATAGACCACATCAACGATCCACCAATGAGAGCCAGCAAAGCTGTTGCTAGCTCTGTAGCTGTGAACGGAGTACAATATTGTTTCCTTACAGTGGCATCTGTTACATTAGTAGTGTTCATAATTCTTTTGCTGACTTCCATCACTGAAGTTTCATTTGTATCAGGTGTTGGTACATCTTTATAACCACAGTGACCCTCACTTTCTGCTGCTAAGCCAATGCCTGAAACAGAGACAAGGATGATACCCACACAGCCAACAGCAATTGCAGCAAACTTGCTTGTGGGTACTGGATAACCAGTCTGTAGGACGAAAAAAAGCAGGCGTCAACTACAAGCCCAGGCTGTGCTCTAGAAGTGCCTGGGTGCCACAGGCAATTAACTTTTTGGGGGGCGACTGGGAAAACTTACTTTTTCATATAAGCTTGGGTGCTGGGCACTCAGGATTTCATGGTTAGAAACCTTTGGGCTCCTTACAATATATCTCAGACTACTGAGCCTTGAAGCCATTAAGTTACAGTGTATGTTAAAAGTTTTTGTTGAATCATGAGCAACTCAGAACCGTCAGTGGAACCTCTCCTTACGACCATGCTAGCTAATAATATGAACACTAAGGCTGGGTTGTTCAAAGCCTGATTAAACTAACCCAGGATTAGCGAGAATTTTGATTTCAGTTTTGCAACTTTTCGGTTCAGTTTTCTGTTTAGGTTGTTTGTCTTTCAGTTTTGAGTTTGATTCATCTTAAACTACACAACCAGAAAGATATTTCTATACAAAAAAATATATTACTTCTTTTAACTTTAAATCCTGGGTTAGCGCTAACCGGCTTTTGAACAACCTGGGCCAGGTTATTAACACCCATTTTAACCTCTATGATACCGCTACAAGTTACAGACAAAACTAAAAGGTGGTTGCATTGAAAGGGTTTTACTGTATAGATAGTGATATAATTTGTGTGGTCCTATTCTAGGACAGGGGTGAATAGGGGTATGCAAATCTGCTGATCTGTGCCTTTTTTTCGCCAAATCTGTCGATCCGGCAATATTTTTGTTCAAATCAGAAACCACAACCACATCTGGAAACAGAAGTGTAATAGTTCAAAAGTTAACTGGTAAATGTGAATGCCATTGTTTGTGTCTCACAAATAGTAAAGAAGGCAACATGCTTGATGACTATAACACAGTACAATTCCACTAACAGTTTAAATGAGCTTCATTCGAAAACAAAAATAATTTGGATGAACTCATTAACATACCGACCAAGGCTGAAGAAAGATCTATGATCCAAATTTCGTTTAGGACCCAAGATCCGAACTTGAGGAAAGGCGCGATCCGGAATCCGCGCCAAAATTCATAGCTGATCCACGATCCACTGTGTTTTCAAAATCTGTGAATCCGTTCGATTTACTGCAAAAATCCACGATCCATACGCTTTTTAAGGCCAAATCTGTCGATCCGAAAACCTATTCACCCCCTTCTTCTAGGTTATTTTACTCCAAATGGGAAGATGTTAGTTTGTGTTGAGAACTGGATGAGTTCTCATAATCAATCACTAGAAACAATTTTGATTGGTCAGTGCAAAATGTGGACCGGGGACTGCAGACTGCGGACTACAGACCAAGGATAAAATGCTGACTGAGGGTAAAATGAAGACTGCACTGAGATGAAGGGTAAAAATGCAGACAGACCACAGTGTATCTACATTTCAAACTGCATTGTGTTACCATTTCCATCATTGAGAGCTAACCATAAACAGGCTAACCCGAGCATTATTGGGGTTAACCTGAGTGATGTTCAGGCTTACAGGAGTGATGTTCAGGCCAACTAGAACGCTATTCAGTAGTCCCAGTTATTTCAACTTCCGGTTTTTGTAACAAAAGTGACAGCTTAATATTGACAATATTACATCGTCAGCAAGGATTCAAACTGTATCAACAGCCTACCAAAACAGAAAAAAAAGTGACAAACTACTCACCCTAAGAAAAGGCAATCGCTCTAACAAAATAGACAGCCATGGAGCGGCCGCCATGAATACACCACCGGTTGAAGGATTTAACACTTTCAGTCCATACATAAATAACATGTATGGAGCAGCAAGCTGTACAAAACCCATCACAGCAAACCTCCAGTAATTTTTTGCAGTTCTGAAGTTGTTGCGGAATATTTCCTTGCCTTCGCTGTCTCTACTAGAAAGGAAAACCATAAAAACAAAATACAGTGCCACAGTCCCTGGTGTTCGAAGAAGAAATACGAGGCTCGGTGATTTGTAAGAATGAACCGCAAAGTGAATCGCCACAGAGAAAGTTCCTCTGATTATTCCGAGGAAAATGAATGCTGAAAGACTTCCTGTGGTAAAATATCCTCTTGGAGCCATATTTTTAAACAGCTGAAAGACCTGTTAAGTGGTGTACGTTTTCGTCAATTTACTCTTTTGGTTGTTCTGCTTACTGAGCAGTTTCAACTTCTCATCTAAACGGCTCGCAAGGCCTCATGGACCTTACAAGTGTACTCATTCCCAGTTTCTTTTGCTATTGCTCGTTCTCGTCCCCTTTGCACAGTTCTGGTCAACAGCAAGATCCAAACATAAAGTTTTCGCCTATCAAAAAAAACTCTGACATACACTGTACTTCTGAATGTGTAGTAACTATTTTAACGAATCCCTCACGGACCATGGTAATATGGAACGAGGCGCAATGCGTTGCATGCTGTTATCATATGCACTTTTCTGTTTCTTTAGCTTGGCAAGAGCCCGCCATTATCTGAACATGACTGTAAACAAATTAATCCTGTCCCAAATACTCAGCTTGTATCATCAAAAGGAGACATTGCAA